GTGGTTTATGGGAGCGGTGGGTGGCATGGGAGGGCAAGAGAATGGGGGAATTGTTACATAAAATAAGATGGTTTCTAAAATAAAAAAAGGGAAAAAGGAAAAGAAAGAAATGCAAGCCTGGCATTGGTGGCACACGGCTTTAATCCCAGCACTCTGTGAGTTCAAGACCAGCCTGGTCTACAGAGCAAGTTCCAGGACGAGGCTCCAAAACAATACAGACAAACCCTGTCTTAGAAATAAAGGCACAATTTTCTGGATAGGAACCACATACCAAAATTAAATTCACATCCAAGACAAGGAAGGCATCCAACCTGAGAGTAGCTGGCATTTGCTGCCAGCAGATAGAGCACAACTCCCTCCTGGCCAATGACAAAGTCCAAAAGATTCCCACCCTGCACCCAGGGCTGTGCCTGTGTGGTAGCATCATAGCGTCATCCCTTTGCCAGTCTCTCCAGAAGGACAAGTATGACAAGGTCATGCTCCGCTGCCCACAAGTGCTGCCCACACCTGCACCTCTGTGTGGTCAACGAACTTAAAAAGAAGGGTGGCCACACCAACAACCTGCACCCCAAGAAAATCAAATAACACTGAAAACTTTCTTGTCCCAGGACCCTTGGGACCCAGTGCAACTTTTGTTTTGGCCTGAGCAGAAGGACTAAGGAAAGTGACGGTGCTAAGACTGAGCTAGTGACATGGATCAGTGTATAAGCGCTGCTGCCAACCTTCACCCTGACTCTCATCCATAATGAAAGAAGAAAACTGACTTCTGACCTTGCCCTCTGACCTCCATGTGTTTCTGAGACATATGTGATTGTACAGACATAAACAAAAAGTAAATGTATTATTATTACATCAGAGCAATTTAAATAAAACAGTGTAAAAGAGTAAGTAAGTGCAATTTAAAGTTGTAATGGAAAGTACACACATCAAAAAGGAACAACCAGAAAAAGTGTGCACATGTGGTATTGCTTTCTTTTCTACAGACATGTTTACTCTTATGTATAGAGTTTTCTCTGGACGCACACCTGGACACCAGAGGAGGAACCAGATCTCATTACAGGTGGTTGGGAGCCACCATGTGGTTGCTAAGAATTGAACTCAGGACCTCTGGAAGAGCAGCCAGTAGTCTTAACGTCTGAGCCATCTCTCCAGCCCTTTGTGCACACTTGTAAGCCAGCTCTTGAGTCTATGAGGAAGTGGATTACATAGTTTATTCCATGCAGATGTACACAATGAGACCTGTCACAGAAACCTTCAAACAATTTGAATATGAGGAAGTATTTCACATTTAAAAATGTGAACATGAACCGGGTGATGGTGGCACATGCGTTTAATCCCAGCACTCGGGAGGAAGAGGCAGGCAGATCTTTGTGAGTTCCAGGCCAGCCTGGTCTACGGTGCAAGTTCCAGAACTGTCTCCAAAGCAGTAGAGTGAAACCCTGTCTCTAAAAACCAAAAACATCATTTGAAAAAAAATAAAGAAAGCCCACAAGAAAATTTGTATTTCTTATGTGTAACATTCATTCATGTCTGCTACCACCTGGTGCTAACAAAGATGAGGACAGATGAGACAGACACTGATGAGATCTTGGAAATGACACGCATTAAATATTGATAGAGTCTACTGCATGACCTAGACACAGCCTTGGGGAAGTCACAGCCTGGTGCCGGGGGAGGGCAGTTCCCCTTCCTGTGGAACTGCTAAAGTACAACCATGTCATGGGAGTGCCCTGGCAACAGAGGACACATCCTATGTCTCCTGTCCCTTCAGACAGACTCCATAGCTTTGCCCACAAGCACAGTTGAAGCCTCTAGGAGGAGACACCATGACCCTCTCCTTCACAGTCCTGCTCTGTCTGGGTGAGATGTGGAGATGGGAAGGGGACACTGTGCTCTGGGATTGATGCTTCCCCAGAGCCCAGTACTGGTCAGTTAGGAAACCCCAGGGTCTCAGGAGGTTCTGTAGACAGAGGGAACTTCTAAAGCTTCAGTAACAAAGCTCTCACAGGGACCTCTCTTCCAGGACTGACTTTGGACCATGGGACACCAGTGCTGGCAGGTGAGTGAGTGTCTGCAGATGTCCTGACATTGCCTGTCATCATTCCTGAAGCCATGCTGGGCTCTGGGAATGGAAAACAACACGTGTGTGCTGCCCCTGGGGATGGATGGAGGGTTGTGGTTTGGGCTGCAATAAGAAGATGGATGCGCTGGGTTCTAGCTTATGCTTTCCTTGCAGGAACTCTCCCTAAGCCTATCCTCAGAGTACAGCCAGATTCTGTGGTCTCTGTCAAGACTACTGTGACCTTCTTGTGTGAGGGGAGCACAGGAGCCAAACAGTACCTTTTGTATAAAGTTGGGTACAACTATTTAACACAGAGCATGATTCCAGCAAATCCTACGAACAAGGCTGAATTCTCAATCTCACAAATAGGCCCTTCGGAAGCTGGGCCTTATAACTGTCAGTATCAGACCAGTGGTGGATGGTCAGAGCACAGTGACTCCCTGGAGCTGGTGGTGACAGGTGAGAGGATCCAGAGTCTACAGCCTCAGACTTGACTGTCAAGAAGTGTTCTGTACACAGGGATGAATCCCCTCATAGCCCTGGAGGATAATGAAGCCTTTGAGGACATTTAACTGATTCTCCTTCTCTCCTAGGGACCCATGGTAAACCCAGCCTGTCAGCCCATCCCAGCCCTGTGGTGACTGAAGGAGGGAGTGCCACACTGCAGTGTGTCTCAAATCAACTATATTATGGCTTCATTCTAATTAAGGAAGGACCACAGAAGCAATCCTGGGCACTGGACTCAAAGTACAACTACTCTACTAGGCAGTTCCAGGCCATGCTCTCTGTGGGTCCTGTGACCTCTAGCCAAAAGTGGACATTCAGATGCTACAGCTTTAATAACAACAGACCACTGGTATGGTCAGAACCTAGTGACCCCCTGGAGCTCCTGGTCTCAGGTGAGGAACCTCAGTCTTTCTCTTGAAAGATGCTGAACTGACACAGGTGCTAAGTGAGGTCTTGGTGTGTGGAGTGTGAGGAGCCAGGGCTCCTGATCCCACGACACAGATCGTGGGAGACAGAGGGACACAAGACACAGACAACAAGGGAGAGACTGACAGCAAAGCTTAGGAGTTCCAGGACAGACTGGAATCTTCATGGAGCCCTGTTCCTCTGGATCATCATAAATGGCATCCAGAAGAGCCCAGGGAACTCTACAGAAGAGAGATAGGAAGGGATGGAGGAGCCAGAGCCTTCAGGACACCAGGACAACATGGCCCACAGGATCAACTCAGCAGGGATCACTAGAGCTCACTGAGAGTGAAGCAGCACCCAAGGCCACATGCATGGGTGTTCCATAAGCCCTCTGCACACAGGCTGTGCGAGGTTCCCTTGGTCCTTCTTTATTTTTTTAGAGGTTCAGTGCAGAGCCCTGTCTGTCCTAGATGTCACTCTGTAGACCAGGCTGCTCTTAAACTCACAGAGATCTCCCTGCAATTGCCTCTTGAGTGTTGGCATTAAAGGCCTGCACACCACTGCCTGACTGGCTTGGGATTTTTGTTAGAATCATAACAATAGAAGGCTGGAAGTCTCTAACTCTTTTGCTGCCCAGTCCTCATATTCATTGGTATTCTGGTCTTTGAGGCTCTGGGCAGCCCCATCACTGACTAATCATTTTTTGACACTCTAAGCCCTGTGCCATGGAAGGGTGCCACTGGTATAGTTGCAGATAAAGGGCATAAAAGGAAGAGCTTGGTTGCTGAGCCAGAGCCCCATTCCTCGAGAATCAGCGATATGTACAGGGCAGGATGGGTGGGGATAAGTACTTGGTGAATAAGCAGCTCCTCAGTCACTAGCCTGGCTCCCTCCCTTAAGGCCTGTCCATGAAGCCCACCTTGCTGACTCAACAAGGCCACATCCTGGACCCCGGAAACAGCCTTACCCTTCAGTGTTGCTCTGACATCAACTATGACAGATTCATTCTGTACAAGGAAGGGGAAAAGAAATTCACCCTGCACTATGGCCAGAGGACCCAGGCAGGCCTTACCTTGGCCAACTTCACCCTGGGCTATGTGAGCAGCTCTATGGGAGGGCAGTACAGATGCTATGGTGCACACAACCTCTCCTCTGAGTGCTCAGCCTCCAGTGATCCCCTGGACATCATGATCACAGGTGAGGAACTAAAAAGATTCGATATGGAAACAAACTTCTTCATAAGCTGCATGGGTCACCTAAGAGCTGATGGCTGTAATGAGGGACTTGGATCTTATTTGGGAACATTTATTTAGAGACAGGGAACAGGAGAGAGGGTAAGGCAGAGGTAACAGATTCACAGGTGTTTTGAGTCGACTCTTGTGAAGTCTCAGCTCAGAGCATTGAAGGCAGCCTCTCATTATCTGTGTTCTCTTTAGGACAGCTTCCTGCCAGTCCTTTCCTCTCAGTGAAGCCAAACTCAACAGTGCAGTCTGGAGAAAATGTGGCCCTGCTGTGTCAGTCAACATACACGACAGACACTTTCATTCTGTCCAAGGAGGGAGCAGCACATCAACCCCAGAGAATGAAATCCAAGTTCCAAGATGGGGAGTTCCAGGCAGAGTTCTCCATGAGTGCTGTGACCTCTGCCCTCTCAGGCACCTACAGGTGCTACAGTTCTCAAGACTCATCTCCCTACCTGTTATCACATGCCAGTGCGCCTGTGGAGCTCTCTGTCTCAGGTGAGGAGACCTTGATTTCTCTGGGTGACTTAAAATCAAAACCCTAGAAAAAGCCCTTGACTTAGGAGGTATTAAGGGGAAAATACCAACGGTTAGTCAGAAGGCAATATCCCTGATAAAAATGTGGATGCCAGCAGGTTCCCTTAGTAATGTCCACTCCTCTATTGCAAACAAAGTTTTGAGTAGACAGCCTGAGAAAAAAAGTGGAGGGTGTTTACAGGGCAGTTGTAGAAAAGTGAGCAGATAAGGGACCTGGGTTAGCATATAACCCTCACCCATTCTTGTTCTGTTTCCAAGGACCCATTAGAGCCTCCGGCCCACCACCCTCAAGTCCCACACCAACAGCTAATAAGTGTCAGACAGCTAAATGCATGGAGTAGGCTCCATCCCCAGGCTGCCTGCTGGTTCTTAGTCCAGCAAAGTCTTCACCACTCTGTCAGTTCAGCTGGGGAGGGTGGGAGGCAAACAGAAATCCCAACAGATACCCCAGAAACCCAAGATTTAGATTGTATTACAAAAGATGACAACCAGAGAGAGGTTTAGTCTCAGAATACAAGTTGTTTCTGGTTCGTAAGGTGGAGAGCAGGGAACCCAGACACTCACCACCTCATCCTAAAACTAACATCCTCAGAACAAACTTCTCAACTGAATGGAGTAAGTTTCCATATCCCCAGAAGGTTATGGAAAGACCCACTGGAATGTGGGTCCCTGTTGGGCAATATCTAGTTGTGGGCTTGAAACAGCTGCTTCTGGAGATGCTGACTTGGACAAGTCCTTCTGTTTATGTACTGCTACTTCTCTGGGTATAAAATGGAGAAATTTGGACCACACCTTTAAGTTTCTTTCGGTGTTCACCTTGGCAGTGACTTCTAACAGAAGAATCCTCCAAGACCTGATTCTGCCCTATATATATCCCACAGCAGTAGTGACATGCAAGCATGAGGCACAGGGCCATGGCATTCAGACTACTTCTCTCTAAATCTTTTGGAACAGTTCCATAATTCTCCACGAGTTCTGTGACCTCCACCCACAGGTATTTTGGATACTACAACTCATCTCTATACCTGTTTTTATGTGCCAATACCATTGTTAAACTAGTGGTCACAAGGTAGGTGATCCAGATACTTATGGGTTAAAGCAACATTTAATGATTCCCCATCTGCAACAATAAGCAAATAAGATTGGGTTGTAAATGCTGCAGAGGGTCAGCTGATTGAATATCCACCCTCATGATGGTGGGAGCAAGCATAGACATTTCCAGGAACTCTAACTACAGACCATGCTAATGAAGCCCAGAACATTTCAGGAAGCCTGAAAGAGCATCTTCAAGATGATACAGACAGATATAAGCTACTGAGTAGAAAAGAGTCCCTAGTGACAACCTCTACTCATCACCCTCCGTGTATCAGTAACATATCCAGAAACTAGACAAGTACTCATTGAAAAGCTCCTTGGGCCTTTAAATATCAGATCAGCACCAATGGATGAGAATGGAGAAATCACAAAAACAATGTTAAGTCTTTTGACTCTAACACTGAAGCTTAGGTAGGAGAAGGGATTCCCAAAGGTATGAGGAGAGATCCGAATTCCATATGATTTAATTGTGGTAGAATAGGCCACCTGAAAGGAAATTGTAGACATAAAATTCTCAGAAATAATGCTTCTTCTGGGAAAGTTCCACAAGGAAGGATACAGCATTATGGATTATGTAGAAGATGCAGAATGTCTGACATTGGACCAATGAATGTAGATCAACAAGAGAAAAACAAGGCAACACTTGACCATCAGGAAACTCCTTGGTTGGCCACATACAGTCCCCAAGTTGAATGTTATCCAGTCATCCCAGTCACTGTGAAGGACCACCTGTCCCTGATCCTTGCTTTCAGTGTATTCATGTCCCAGTGTCCCCAGAGGAGGAGGTAACCTTGCTGTGATAGGTACAAATGCTGCTATACTCTCCTCTTCAAAACATGTCCACATCTATAGCTCAACCCTACCAAACAAAATTCTCGATGCGAACCTGAAGGTAACAATAATCATATTAATCAAAATAAAATCCAGTAGTCTAAATCAAAATGTATTGCTTTATGAAGTGTAAAACATTTTACTCTAGGATGAAATAGAGGAATTAAGACTGTATGGGTTCAGCTTCCTTTTGTGAAGTATCATCTAAGAATGTCTTCTGCCTACCTTTGGTGACTTCATCTGAACAAGAGAAAGTTTTGGCATAAGACCATCAGAGACTATTCACCACTGATCCTTGAGTCTCCTAATGTGATGTAATGTGATGGGACATCTACAGCACTTTCACCTCACAATTATAACAATTATTTGTAAAGATGAAAAAAGTCAGGGTGTGTTAGATATGTAAACCTTGGGATCAATGCTCAGTGCCAGCTGCCCATGCTATTGGGCAATTGTTAAGTGAAAGCCCCAT